GAGGAGGGGGAGGAGGAGGAGGCGGAGGAAGAGGAGGAGGAGGAGGAGGAAGAGGAGGAGGAGGAGGAGGAGGAATAATAATAATAATAGGAAGACGAAGAAGAGGAAAACTAAGCAGACTAAGAATAGTACTAATACTCAGAAGAAGAAGACGAAGACGAAGACGAAGCCGAAGCCGAAGACGAACACGAAGACGAATACGAAGACGAATACGAAGACGAAAACGAATACGAAGACGAACACTAATACTAATACTAGTAATAATAATAACAATACGACGGATAATGCTAATAAGAAGAAGACGAAAACGAAGACGATTAATAATAAGAACAAGAAAACTAATAGGGAGAACAACGAATACGAAGACACATACTAATAATAAGCGTAATAATACGAACACTAATACGAATAATAACAAAATGAATAATAAGGAGACGACTAAGACGAACAAAAACAATACTAATATCAATAATAATAACAATAATCATACTAATAATAATAATACTAGTAATAATATTACTAGTAATAATAATTCTAATACTAATACTAATACTAATACTAATACTAATACTAATACTATTACTAATACTAATACTAATACTAATACTAATACTAATACTAATACTAATACTAATACTAATACTAATACTAATAATAACAATAATAATAATATTAATGATAGTAATAATATTAATAATAATTTCAATATTAATGATGATAATAATAATAATACTACGAATAACCATAATTCTACGACTACTAATAATACGAAGAAGAACAATACGAATACTAACAATAAGACGAATACTGCGAATAAGAAGAAGACGACGCATACTAAGAATGGGGGTGCGTGCACATGAATGGTGTAAAATAGCGGGCCCTGTCGCGGACCCCAACCCTCTCGGTGCGTGGGCGCGTGGATAATCGCGCTTCGCCCCGCGGGGGTCCTTGCTCCGTCGTGCCTGCACTGTTTGGGAAATTGCACTGCGGTGCCGAACAGCTTCTATGCATCTGTAGCTGCTCCGTTTTGGCTGAGTGGTTTCTCTTCGACCTGCGGCCTCGAGCTGCATGCGGCCCGGGTGCCTCCAGCAGATCCTCAGTGCCCCGATAGCCGCGGGGCTTCTCGCGCTGAGCACGCGGAGGCAGCCTTGCCCCGTTTCCCCGTGGCCGCCGAGCTGCCCAGAGACGTGCGCGGACGTGCCGCCCTGCGCGTGCCCAGGGGT